TTGACGTTATCTGCGTCACCCATTTCAATTTCAAGTTGGTGTGTTTGTTGTGATTGTTTGTTCTTCTTATTGGCACGGTTTAATGCCCTAAATATTTTCTCGGGGTTTGAGAGTCCTTCAAGCAGTTCACCAGTCCTCTAAGAATCTCTAGGCATACACCTGAATCACACAAGAGTTCAAACGTGAGAATTTCACTGGAAAATTATGTAACACCGTTGAAAATTGATCTAAACTAATAATGATACCACTACTTCTAAGTTGTAATAAATAACACCGTTAGTTCCCCGGCAACGGCACCAAATTTGATCACGCCCAACTATGCCTTATAAAAGACAAAGCGGTCGTTGCACATATAATCCGATTTTCTTAAATCTGGAGTCGAATCTTCAGGGAACTAACCTATCTATCACAACTCTTAGTGATGCTAATACAAGCTCAAACAATTTCCGGATGCAAGATTTTTGTAAATAAATATTGGATTTTGTTCAACTAAAGTAAAATGATATTAAGATTAACAATATTCTAAATCAAAGATAATTAAATGGTAAAAAGATCTAGGGTATTGATTTCCCCAATTGCTAGTTTACTTCTTAACTCTTTTGCTATAATTTCGTCGTGGTACTCTATGAGGATTATGAGCTATGGGGACCGCAATTATCTCTCGATCAACTATGATAATTTACTAGAGCATTCTCTCGAACTACTCTAGATGATAATTTATACAGCTCTGAATTATCCCACCAAAGTTCCGTTATCTCTAACCCCACTTTTAAATTCAAGTAATGAATCTCTTCAACCACTCAAAAGTGGTGTTATTTAACAACAATCTAACCTAGTATTCTTTCTCAAGCAACACAAGGCAATTAGACACGATTAATCAAGGGCTCATTCAATTAATCACCATACAAAACATAGTTGAACAATCATATAATAAATCCGGCTCGATTATAACAAAATTGAGTCAAAACTTCATCTAACAATTGGTTCCATCAACCCAAGATTAAATGTTTAGATACTCATAGTAAAGCAAGATAAAATCATAAAATTATTCATAATCACAAATAATGATAACAAGAAGAAGATTGAAAAACTCTAATGGTATCTTGATCTTCTCACACTTGTTTTTGCCTCCAATTCAGTCTAAAAACAAGCTTGACCTTGACTTGGACGAGTTTGTTGAGATTATATAGGGTTAGGATAAGTTTCCCACGATTTACAGTTTGGCCCTAAAACTTCTTGGCTTTCTCCAGATCTACTGCGGTCGCGGCACGACCGCGGTCATTTCCAATCATTCTGTTTTTCTCCTTCTTTCACCGCGTTCCAGCCGCGGTCCCACCGCAGTCGCAGTGGGCTGTGGCCCAGTTTTTCTTCACCTTTTCTTGCTCGTTTTCATTCGGGCTCTTCTCGATTGGCCTTGTATCTACATATTTGACCCCAAAATACTTAATATCCTCCTCCTAACTCGGAGCATTTTGTTATTATTTAGCACTTAAAACATCAATAAAGTATGGTTAACTTAGAGCATAAATAGCATCTACATCGTATAATATAGGCTACTATCAATTAACAATGAGATAAAGAACACCAGTCTTGAAATGTGATTCAGCCCTCGAGCTTAAGTGCCCTCGAACTGATCGGTGCCCAAAACAGTTAAGAAACAAACTAACTGATGAACAAGAATATGAATTAGAAAATATTGTATTGCTTTGATATGTATGAATGTAAGATGATTACAAGATGACTAGGGCCCTCTTTATATAGTAGAGTAATCCTATTTATAGTATAATTTTAATTACGGAAGTAAATCCCATGATGGGCTAAATAACCGGTCCTGACTTGATACATGCCGATATTTCTGCCACGATCCTTGCCTGATCACGGATATCTCGGCTTTCTGTTATTCGACATGACAGGCTTCCTTCAATCTTGCTCGATCTCTTTCATGTTTCGGTCTCGATCTTGATTGGCTATTGTATAATGGTTCTATATAACCGAGGCCGAGCCTTGATTTACCACCCCGATTTTGGTCAGTCATACAAAATTAGGCAAGCCCGATTTTGACCGTATACAAAGTTGACCCGAATAACTAAAAATAATTGAATAAATATTCCTAACAAACTCTGTATTAGTTATTACAAGGTGTATATTAAAGAAAATTATGGCACCTATTATTTTCAAATCCTGGATCCGCCTGTAAGTCCCATAGATTTTTTTCTAAAAAATGGGACAGGGATTTATGCACTATAGGAAGTGATTTCAAAATCTTGTCCATAGCCTTATTTCTCATCCTCCAGGAACCCTGTTTTATTTGTTGTTTTTGTTTTGCCTTCTCAGTATTATTCCTCTTTCACTCAATTTTTCATAGCAAACAATCCTTGATGAAGTAATATTACTTTATATACTTGTAGCATCCATCAGTATTGTTTTTATCTATGGCCTTGGAGGAACTGCCTTTTTTCAAGAACCCATCTTTCCTTGTTGCCCGCTAGAAATGTCTAGTAAGCAGTGACATGTCATCTTCTTCAGTGTCTTGCTTCAGAGTGGACTTGAGAACCTGTAGGTTCTTGGGCTTTCGGGATTTAGTAGATTATCGATCTATTCGTTCTTGATTAAGCTTAAACTTATATGTTTCCGGATTACAAAAAAGATCATGAAGAGTCATCGTATAAAGATTTCTTGCTTTAGTGATCGCATTGACCTTGCTATACTATGAGGGAGGCAGTATGCTTAGTATCTTTCTCACAAATTTTTTCGAAAGATAAATTCTCCAAGAGATATCAATTCATTAATAATTGATGTATGCACTTCATCTTAAGCTCTTTGCATTTCCTAGTTAGAAAATCAATCTGTAACTGCTTCACGTGGAACATACCCTCATGTGCACACAAAGAAACATCCCATATGGATTTTGCATCTCAGCATACGGAGATCTATTATATTCATCCGAACCAATACCAGATAACAAAATCTTTTTGTCTTTAGCATTCTTTTGAACTCGTTTGGCATTTTCCTCATAATATTTTTCTCTAGGCTTTGGTCCAACAGTGATACCTTTGTTACCAACCAGTATGGAAATCTTTTGTCATTTTTCAACAATATCCTAGTGCTCCAGGTTTTCTAGAAAATAATGCATTCTCTCCTTCCTATTAAATAGTGGTGCTCTTAAAGTTGATTGTCCTTCTTGAGCATCCGGTGGTGAAGCCATTGCATATTCTTTCAAGGTATTAGACTTTTATGAAAGAACTCGCTTTGATACCAATTGTTAATTTAGAGACGAACTCTTACCTGATTTTCATGATTTCAAAGAACTTTGTTCTTTGAACTAGGCAAACAAACAAAAATAGAAATAATCGCAGAATTTAACTGACACAAAAAGTTTTACGTGGAAAACCTCTTTGGTCAAGGGAGTAAAAAACTATGACCTACCCTAGTAGGATTTCCTCAAAACTCTGCTAAAAATCAAATAGTAATTTTTAGGTTACAAATCTATAACCAAGGGGATTAACTTCTCCTACAATCAACTCAATTATAGCTACCCCTTCCCAAACTAACTCTAGCCTAAGAAGCTTACAAAAATTTAAAGTTTCTGCACTAACCTACTACTACACTTATCAAAAACAAATAAGTCACAATCCGAAACACTTGACTCAACCTAACAACTAAAGAACTTCAACAACTTCTTCTTTAGGAATATGTTCTTTAGATGAGCAGCTTGAGTCTTCAAGAGTATCTTCTTGCCTTGACTACTTTTTTCAGGAGTAGCTCTACATATGTGATTTTTTTATAGCGTTAACCTTGGATTGCATCAAAAAGTTTCCTTTTATAATTGCAAATGTGGCTGAAAATCTTCTTCAATTAATGCTCCAAAATGTGGAATATTTAGGTTAAGGAAAACATCTAGTCCCATTTTGATTTGGTTGCCTTATTTTTTCCATCTCTTCAACTTTTTCTTTCCATGCAAGTTTTCCCTTATTTACAAGAATCCTTTTCATCACGGACTCCTGTCAATTAATGCATTCCTTGTAGAGTACGGACATAACTTGCTTGAGGAAATCAACTTACACAAGTATTCTGACATGCGTCTGATCAGCACTAGACTTTAGTCTTCTACGAACTTGGTTTATTTGTCAGTTGTATCTCACTCCTACACACTAGTTAAGTAACACATTATCCTGGAACATGAAACTTGGTTATTTCACATAGTTTATCCTGGTTTGTTAATCATCAAAATATAATACATGCTTAGCCCAACATTGATACTTATTGAGTACATGTTGTCTCGTACTCTTGTTACGCTTCTACACATTTTCATGTAGATTAGGGTGTTAGCAGCGGACCTCGCGAGTGTACTTTTGATTTATCGAGAGGATTCAGGGTAGTGTTACATGAATGTCGAGATCCTTGGAGTCCCCTTCCCTCGTCTTATGTTGTTATTTTTTATCTAGACAAATATTATACTATTGAGACACATCCTATATTTGGTTTTAGAGCTAATGACTCGGTACTACCTGGTTTTGGGAATTTGGTTTATGTATCACTGTATTAGCTATTGTTGGAGCTTTACACTGTTATTTATATTAATTGAGACTTATTATATGTTGTTTTGCGGTCTTTATATTATTGTGAAGGGGAGTCTTGGCGTAACGGATAAAGTTGTTGTCATGTAACCAGGAGGTCATGAGTTCGAGCCGTGGAAACAGCCTCTTACAGAAATGCAGGGTAAAGTTGCGTACAATAGACCCTTGTGGTCCGGCTCTTCCCCGGACCCCGCGCATAGCGGGAGCTTAATGCACCGGGCTGCCCTTATTTTTTGTTTTGTTTTTATATTATTGTGTGATTGGCTAACCTAGTATGGAGGTTAGGTGCCCTCGCGATATCTTTGGTGAGATTTTGGATCGTGACAACAACTTCAAAATGCAGATACTACTAACCAAAGCTCTACCAAACAAAATTAATGAAGCTTGAATGGCAGACCCTTTTGCTAGATTAATCAAAGAATATACAACAATGGAACTCAAGAATTTTGTATTCAAATAAGGTAGATATATCTATTCAGAGAGGAAAAAGAAACTCCCTCTAAATATAAAATTGAAAATTTCCTGTACAAGATAGCTAGAGCTAAATCATTTCGTAACCCTCTGCAAAAGATCAACAACCATCTTTTCTGTCTCATTAATAAATTGTACCAGATTAACATGATTCTATATGTATCATAGAATTGAATTTCCTTGAGTTGATGATCCAGGGTTGAGCCATGCATGCTGTTGCACCACAAAAATTGAAGCACTAGAAGAAAAGTCTGATGTCAGCAGCAGATCCCCAATCGACCCTAGCTCCGGGCAGTCGCTCCACTCATCTAACCCACCCTTGAGCGGCGAAAAGAACCCCAATCCTCTTCCTACCACATAGAGATCAAAATCCTGACCTAGTGTTGCTATTATTTTCACTGTTTCTGCCCCATTACTAGACATCTCCTCTATATAAACAATTGAGCCATCATTCTGTACCTTGTGCCTAAACTCATTTACCAAAAGGTCATCAGCTTGCTTTTCAGCTTCAGCTCCCATTATGACGGAAAAATCTGCATCGTCATTTTGTGTTGAACCAGCTATAGCTCTACTTTCATCTAGAATAAACCTCAAAACTGTTAGACTTACCTTGGGATGTCTCGCCATGCGCAAAGCATAGGCCAAAGCCTCTCTGTCATCAGGCCCCCCTATAAAGATCATAGCAATTCTGCAACTCCTACTTATACCCTCATCTTTTTTAGTAGGTAACAATGTGCCAAAACCACGATCTACAAGAATACCAACAGTACAAGGTGCAGTTGCTAAAATATTATTATTTACATCTTTATAAGCAGGATTCATTTCTTCCATGTTATTATGGATAGTCTGTCTCTTGTGGAATGGGAGAATGATTAGTGTCACCTGCTTTTCCTCAGCAAGACTGCAGACATCCTCATGCATTGTGCCATAAGGAGATATAGCAGTCAATAGCTGAACAGATACCATTGGATTTTGATGCTCTAAGTTGTTAAACGCAGCAATTAATTGGTCTATTTGTCCGCCTACTTTACTGACGCTTTCTGAGCTAGTCCTGCTGGAGCCATGAACAATGAGGAGAGCGGTGGTATGTTTTTTCAGCTGCATGAGCTGAAGAGCAAAGACGCAAATTGGGGATCTTCTCGAGGCATGGGATATATCCAGGAGTGCAGTAATTCCAGCAACAGTTTGTACTTCATGAATACAGGTAAGGATTCGGAGCTCAGCATCTGGTTTTAGGTCCTGTAACACTCTGTGCTGGCTTGGCAAGAACCTTTTAGTCCGTCTATAGAGGAAGTTCACAATTGGTGATGTTGCTATGCTCATGAAAAAAATGGTAAACAACATGATGGCAAATCCATCCTCATTCATTACAGTATGGTCACGCCCCAAGCTCATTGCCATGACAGCTACCAGGCCTTTGGTGTTCATCAAGACACCAAGTGTAAATCCTTCACGCAACGACATTCTATACAAATAAGAAACAGCAATAGTGCTAACAATCTTAGGTATGAATGAAAAGAAGCTAACTAGAACCATCATAAGCACGTCCTCTTTGTTTAATCCCCCAAGATGAGTCCTCATTCCTAGACTAGCATAATAAAGAGGCAGCAACAAGTCCGACGCAAAGCCTTGTAGCATCAACACAAACCTGTGCCCCAAGAAATCTGGAGGTATTATAAGACCAAATACAAATGCACCAAGCATAGAGCTAACTCCACATATATCCGTCACCAACCCACAAGCCAAGACCATTGCAAGTATAGCACAAACTATTGCTTCACTAAATTCTTCTCCATCTCGGGTCCTCCTCCTAATCACCCACAAAAGTGCCGGACGGATTGCAAAAATACTGAAAATGATGAACACAATAGCACTAAACAATGACAAGTACGTACTTGAATAGCTACTAGTTATTGACAATGAGACTACAAGGAGAAACCACGACGACAAGTCATTAACAAGGGCTGAAGACATGGCTATTCTTCCAATCTCTGAATGGAGGAGCTTTAGTTTTGCAAAGATTTCTGCTATAACAGGAAGGCCAGTGACTGAGAGTGCTACACCCCAATAAAGGAAACCCCACCTGAAACTCTCGGGATAGTCCGCGATAAACGTGTACAGGGAAGCTCCAATAACAAACGGGAAAATAGCTCCAGCAATACCAATGCCAAGGGCTTTAGGTCCAACACTTGTTAATGCTCTTAAGTCCATTTCTAACCCAAGAAGAAATACATGATAAATTAGCCCAAGGTTTCCCACGGTCTCCATCATCATAATTCGAGAGGCTGCAAATATAGCACCAAACGCTGGAATATGTTCTCGTGCGAATTCACTTGCAATTGCAGTTGAACCCACCAGTATACCAGCCTGCCATATTCGGAAGAAATTGGCATTATGATTCAAAAATGAGGAATTTGCTTTTTCTCTAAAAAAGAAATCGCAAAAATTACACTTCAATCCGCAGCTTAATATTTGACATAATAGCGTGAGTGTGCTCCAAAACTTGTGTTTATTCAAAGAAAGTGACCTATAAAGTAGAACAAGCTAGGAAAACTTAACATATCAAATGAAGCCAAATTAAGATGACTTATAGTCCGTTTGGTCAAGCTCCAAAAATCCGCTTATTTTGAGAAGTGTTTTTTCAAAAGTATTTTTGATGAAAAGCAGTTTATGTTTGGCAAATGGATTTCAAAAGTACTTTTGAGCAGCAATTAGTGTTTGTCGAGCTTTAAAAAACTACTTCTAAGTCTATTTTTCTCAAAAATGTTTTTCAAAAAAGTATTTTTGAAGAAAAGCTACTTTTTCTGTTTCTCCAAAACTGCTTATGCTTCTCCTCAAAATCACTTTTTTTCCTTTCAAAAGCTTGGCCAAACAACTTAATTTTAGAAAAAAAATATTTTTGACCCAAAAAAATGATTTTGCCTCAAAAGAAGCTTGGCCAAACAGGCTATTAATCGCATAAGAGCAAAAGCAGATAACCAAGAAAAATAGCATCTAACCTCTATTAATTATCTTCATGCATGATAGGTGAAATACTAATATTAATCTTTCTAGTAAACCAACTAAAAAAAAGTTTAAAGCAATTTCAAGTACGAACAATCAAACCCATGCAAAGAAAGACATGAAAATGTGGCTTAGCTTGGTATATTTGACACTTACTTGGTTTCAATAGATATGACATGTTTGATGAGCATGGATTTTGATATTCTTTTTTAGTACTTATGTATTTTATCAGTCATAGTAAGAAAAAAAATAAAGTAATGGTTAAAAAGTCACATAGATAGAATATCTATTTCAATATTTTAATTTTAATCTTTCAAATTCATCTGACTTATAACAACTCGAATATGTTTGTCTTTTTTTAAAGCACAAGCATTCAAATATGTTTCTTGTTTATTTAACTCCGTGCGAAGCCAAAAAAACAAATTGGAACAGAGAGAATATAAAAGTTTAAATATTGAAATTGTTAAAAATGGGATAAGAAAATGACATGTTGTCAATATTCAAATGGGTAGGAGTGTCGTACAAACTGCGCCTAAACGAAATAAGCAATTATACATACGAGCAATTCAGCAGCGAAATGGGGTTGGCGGAGGGGCTTGAGGAGGAGCAGACAAAGGCGGGTGACGAATAGAACAATAGCAAGTTGAAAAATGAAGATCGGGAGTTTGGAATCCAAAGGGTTGATTTCTTCCCAAATGCCATTGTCGGTAACAGTATCTGTCATATAACACAATTTGTCAACACCCGCCACTTGTTTCCCTCGGACATTATACGATGGAATTTCTGGGGTCTTCAAGAAATTGGGATTAACCATTTTGCTTTAGATCTCCGCCGGGGGCCACTCTGGCGACAGTTGAAGCTGCCACCTTTTGGCTGTTTTCGGTGCATAAATCGGAAAAGAAAAGATGGGAAAAAAGGTTGAGACGTGAGAAAATCTCCTTAGATCATGCATGATTGACTTTATTCAGAAAACGTACAAATGGATGGTTTGCCATTCTGCATGGGTTTCATTAGTTGCTCCAAAATGCGTGAAGGAAAAGAAATAAAAGGAAGAAAAAATAAAAAAGAGGAGGAAAATGTGATGATGTGAACCACTTCAACACTTCACATTCATTTTGCATGAATAGGTGTACGTTTACCTCGAAAATACGAGTAATAATTAAACTTGTTTATGATTTTAAAGATATGTGATTTAGTTTAATATTAATTAATAACCAAGAAATCTGACATATAAATAAAAGAAGTAAGTAAAATCAAACCAGTATGCAAGCCAGTCTCGACCTCGAGCAAAGGTGGCCTCGAGATTGGTCAAGAACAATAAAGTTAAAGGACAATTCTGATGAGTAATGAACAAAAAAGTAAGAAAGTATATTCTTTTGTCAATGAGTCATGATCGTTACAAATGATTGGGGTACCCTTTATATAGTAGGGAACCCTAAATAAGGTACATTTCTATTTACAGTAAGGAATCTTGTTGGGACAGTTGTCTAACCGCCTGGTACGGATTCGTACTAACTCGTACGAATCTATTCCAGAATTTACGCCATGATCTTGGGGACGTGGCGGGAATCTTGCTCTTTCTGTTACAAAATCATAATGACATTATCTTGAGGCCGGTCACGTTTGGCCTCAATATTCATCGGACACCTCGATCTTCGAACTTCGAACTCTTCCATCGGCCTCGAACCCAGTATTCTTTGGACTTATTCTTGAAATGGTTCCTCGAGCCCACTAAATCGAGCATACCTGATTTTGACCGTATACAGATAGTCCCCGCGTTTCTTAGAATAAGATGATAAGAAACGACTTGAGCCTCGATTTTCTAGAGTCCCCGATGATGATGTCATCCCCGTGACGTAAGCACTCGAGGAGACCAAAATGTCCCATTGGTTCGCTTTCCCAAAACATTAAATGGGTGCCAGCAATGGTCGGCCACTAACGCCGCCGAACCGTCGCCGATTACCTATAAATATGGGGCTCTTTTTTTGAAATAAGAAATTTACTTCTTCCTTCCAATCTCTCTAATCTCTTCTTCTCTTTATCTCTTTCTCTCATCACATGTTTCTACCGCCCTTTTAGTGCCGGAAAACACCAAACTCGGCCACCTTCCACATCTCTAAACCTAAAAACATGGCAAAAACCTCTAAAATAGTTCCTCAAAAGAAAACGGCTTCCTCCTCTTCTTCTCGTCCGGCCGGTGACAAAGCGTCGGCCCTTCACGAGGTCATTCCCATTGCATGTATCATAAAGAAAGACTTTAACGTCGAAAACCTCCTTGTAGATCTCGGCCGATGGGAGCATGCATCGAGGTATATTTGTTCGATAACGGAGAAACACCTCGAGGCTGTGAAAAAGGATTTTGACTGGAGGGATGAGGTCGTGGTACAGATCCCGGCCCCTGAGGAGAGTGTCACCACCCACGTGGAGGGGTTCCTAAGCGTTTACACTTACCCCTTCACATTGGGTCCTCTTAATTTGATTGTGATCGACTTCTTAGAAGATATCAAGTCACCCTCGGCCAGATCTACCACTCTTTCTGGCGCATAGCGATTATGCTCCGTTATTTCTCCAGAGTTCACCCTTAATCACCTCATCCGATTGTATCGGCCTCAGCTTTTTTGAGGATTGATCAAACTCCAACGCCGATCAAGCAAAGCCTTCTTTGCTAGCAATTATGAGGATGAAGACCAAGGCTGGATGAGTCGGTTCATCCGAGTGAGGACTTTGAACATCATCCTCGAGGAGAAAATATCGTTCCCAAAGAGGTGGAACCCCAATCGTAAGTGAAACCCTTTTCCCGGTATACTCTTATACTTTATCTTCGCATTGTGCGATGCCTTTACCTTTTTTACAGTTGTTGCTTAGATGCCTCATGTGATTCCCGACCTCGAAAACTGGGTTCTAAAGTTAGTTGCGACCTCCTCGTATGATGAGCGCAAATGGCGTGACTTGTCGAGGGGCAAATGGGAAGCCAAATGCCATGGTGAGTTTTCATTTGTAATTTTTTTATGCTTTCCTTCTTTACCAAAGTCATTTGTTTCCTCATACTTAATTTTCGATTTATGTAGGAATTGAAGATTTCTTCGAGATAAGGTCGGACGCTCCTAGGGAGGAGATCGAGTTGGGGAAAGATAATAAGAGAAAAATGGTTTCGAAACTCGAAGACCCCCAAGACAAAAGGGCCCCTACTAGAAGAGCAGGAGGAATGTTATTCACGTGGACATGGACTTGGCCCACTAGTTTCTAGAGGATGAGGAAAACGTGGGCGATGATTCAGCGCTAGTGACCCGAGCTAGGAAACCAGTTGAGGTCGCCAAACCTTTCGAGCGGGAGATCCTGCCTCGTGAAGAGGAAACTCTGAAGAATATTTAGGCAAAGCCCTAAATCGCCTGGAGTCGAGATTGTTCCTCCGATTTCAACAAGCACACCCAAGGGGATAAGTACCGAGATCCCCGGGATCGGAAAGAGCACCATAGCGACGTGCTCGGGGCCATGACAATAGATCACTCTCCTTATTTATTAGCTTACTCTGAGGAAGCAATAAGGGAAGCTCAGGCTCTAGAAATGCCTAACCCCAGCGGAGTCCCCGGTGAAGAAGATCCTTTCTGGGATTGTTTTAATAGGGTCGATGATGCCACCGACCTCAACAAAGCATCAACCCTCTTCGAAGAGGCTCACCGTCTTTTCTCCCCAGTAAGCATTAACTTCTGTCATTGTAATTTCTTCCTCTCCCCTTACTCCAATCTGATATCTCTTTTTTCTGTATAGGCCATTACCAAATTTAGGGCCGCGCTGAGCTAATATAAGGTCGAGCTCAAGAGATCTTCGGACGAAGGGAAGGCTCTAAAACTCCTTTGCAGCAAAAAGGAGGAGGAGCTCAAAGACCTTCAGGCATACTTGGCCAAAGCTCGCGAAAACGAGGCCAAACTGGACAAGCATGTAACTGATAACGCCCAACTATGCCTTTTAAAGGACAAAGTGGTCGCTGCAAATATTATCCAGTTTTAAATCCGGAATCGAATCCTCAGGGAACTAACCTATCTATTACACTCTACGGCAATGTTATTATCAACTCAATCAATCTCTAGATGCAAGATTTTTGATCAATAAAGATTGGGTTTTTTGTTTAACTACTTCAACTGCTATTAAAAACAATAGTAAGCTAAAATAAAGATAATTCAATGGTAAAAAGGTCTAGGGCAGTGATTTCCCCAATTGCTAGTTTAGGTCTTGACTCTTACGCTATAATCTCGTCGTAATACTCTATGAGGATTAAGAGTTATGGGTTATCGTAATTATCTCTCGATCATCTAAAATAATTTACTAGAGCATTCTCTCGAACTACTCTAGCTGACAATAGTTATGCAACTCTAAATTATCCCACTAAAGTTTTGTTATATCTAAACCCATTTTTAAGTTCAAGTAATGAATCTCTTCAATTACCCAAAAGTGGTGTTGTTTAACAGCTATCTAACCTAATATTCTCTCTCAAGCAATATAAGGTAATTAGACACGATTAATCAAGGGCCCATTCAATTAATCACTATACAAAACGTAGTTGAACAATCATATCATAAATCGGGCTCGATTATAACAACTTAAGTCAAAACTTCAACCAACAATTGGTTCCATCAACCCTAGATAAGTATTTAGCTACTCATAACAAAATAAGAGAAAACTACTAAATTGTTCATAATGTAAAATTGCAAGAATTAAAAGGAGATAGAAAAACTCTAATGATTGGTTGATCTTCTCACTCTTGTTCTTGCCTCCAAAAGTAGTCTAAAATCAGCGTAGCACAATCTTGGGCAAGTTTCTAAAGCATATAAGGGTTTTACAAAAGTTTCCCCGATTTTACACTTTGGTCCTCAAACTTTCCAGCAGCGTGAACAGTGCAACGCGGTCGCGGCCAACCGCGGTCGACCGCGGTAAATACTGATCTTTCTGCCTTACGTTGTTAATCTACCCCGATTCACCGCGGTCGCGGTGGCCTTCTTGCCCAGGCCATTTATGCTTCTTTGTGTTCAGGTACTTCTCGAGTGGGCGTTTTTCTTCACATTATCGCCTCCAAAACACTCCATGTTGCTTCCTCTCATATAATATTCCCTGCTAAACAAAAGAACACTATTTAGAGTATTTTATTGGCAATTTATCTATAAAACAACAACAAAGTATGGTCATATTAAGGTATAAATATCAACTATATAGCCTACTATCAGTAACCATCATTTTGCAAGAGTATGGTCTACTTGACCCAACTATGGAGGCTAACACCTCAGTGTCTCAGATGTAACCAAAATTCGAGATTATCGAGCAGCTTCGAGGGGGAGGTCGATCAAGTTAAAGTAGACTGCAACCAATGGAAGGAAAATATGGATCGACTTGCTGCTGATAAAGAGGCTAGTCTAGCCCAACTGGCCTCGTCTGAGACCCAGCTCTGAGGTGCTAAAGTGAAAAATTTGGCCCAGGCCAAGAAGATCGAGGAGCTCGAGGCCAAACTCACTGAAGTCGAAGCTGAGGTTGTTGAGGCCAGGGCCGAAGTTGAGAAGACGAAGGCCACGATTGATAAAACCATCACTGTGTACTTAAGGGATGTTGAGTCTGTTCAAGTGGAGCTAAGGGAGGCCCCTGACCAGGAAAAATGGAGTAATGATTTGGCCAAGTGCCAATCCCGGAGGGAGACCCTTGAAGAGATCCATGCCCGAGGTTTCTACCTCACTGAAGAGATAGCCCAAGCAAGGGCGCTAGAAACCGATGCCAGGTTTCTCGTTTCTTCCGATGATGAAGATTTTGCTAGTGGTTCTGAGAGCGGGGGAGATGAGGATGGAGTTCCCGATGAGGAGTTTTCCGAAGATGCGGCTCCCGAGGATGCGACTCCCAAAGTAGATTAGGCTCTTAGGATTCTGTTTTTGTTTCTTTCTTTTTA